CGGCTGCCCGGGGCGGCCTCCAACGGCCGCGGGCCCCAGTGGCGCCAGCACCTCCCGTAGGCCGCGAGGTCCTTGGGGCCGGGGTAGAGGGGTGGAAGCAGCGGGGAGCTCTGTTCGCTCAAAGGACATCAAGTTCTCTAAGATCTCCCCTAATAACGGAGTCTCCCTTCACCGTGGAGTCACTTGCCTAGCAATGAAATGCAGACATTAACATCCTACATCTTTAGGATGCAGTTACTGCGGCCTCCTTGTCCTTGGGTACCTGAGTTTCTTTCCACGCAGTAGTCCTTTAAGCCTTCAGTTGATCTGCTGCTTTTTCATTTCTAAAGCTCTTATCCCAGTGCCCAAGTAGCAACCTGCTCCCTGCAGTAAAGCACTGATGTGAGATTGGAGAGTGGCCATAATTACTGGTCTGTATGGGGTGAATGTGTTCAGTGCTATAGCTTAAACTAAATGATGTTGATTCAGATAAGTGAACTTTATTTTTTTGTATTTTTTTATATAACAAGCTTACATACTCTATTTTAAATGCTCCATTCTTAGAAAGGAGAAGTAATGCTAATGCTGGAAAGCAGAGTAGAATCTCACATAGAGATAATAGGCAATGTTTGTCCTTTTTTAATGTTTGGCTACTTGATTTGGGAAGTGAGGATGATTGTTTTATGACTTTTTTTTTTTTTTTGCTTATGTGATGTTTTCCTATCTTGTAATAGGTGTTCTGGAAAAACATTATCATTAGAAAACAATGTCCCTTGACTTCGATAGCGGAGCTCTACAAACTCAGCATGAAGAGGAAGAGTATGACCAAGAGGATTATGCAAGAGAACAAGAGGTGACAATAAATAAATTATTTGTTTGGAAGGCTTGTTTAACTGGCTTCTTTCTGTTTGATAGCATAGAGATCAAACTCTACTTCTTAAGAGTTGCACAAGAAGCAGAGAGAGTGAGGAGATGCATTTTAAGAGCCTTGCAGTGTCATATGTAGGGGCTGTAAGAACGATATCTGTTGGCTATTTAGCAGATGGCTGAGGACCATTGTTGCCTACTGTCTGTGTTCCTTCGTAGCGTCTCTATTTTCTCTATTATGGTTACAATAGCTTCCTTCCCCTTGAAAATCAAGTTAGCTTTGGAAGGAATGAGGAAACTTTTAAACTTTTGAACAAATGTACTCTAATGTCTAGAGAAAAATATTCAAATATTTTCATTATTGGAATTCAAACACACTATGCTTTTTTTTTTTTTCTCTCCAGTTTCTTTAATTTCGGAAATGAAATAATCAAAATGCACAGTTAACCTTGAATGTGCAGAAAGATTTCTATCGGGTAGTAAATGCTTGTGTCAGCTAAGCCCCACGAAGTATACTTCAGGGATCATTGTGTAGAAGCCAAGTGATATGCACACAAATATTCACAAAAATGTATGTTAGAGCAATCATTATACAACTTCTAAAGGTGCTGTTGCAAACACTGTAGGGAATATGTTGTATGTTAAAAAAAACTTTTACCCTAATAAGGAGTACAAATAGTGAAGTAATTGTAAGGTTATCATAGAAAATAACAGTATAAATAGCATTATAAATTTACAGAGCTGATAGTGTTTTGTTTTTTGTTGTTGTTTTGGTCACTCCAACTTCTATTTTAGCCCCGGTGTGAGGTGCATCCTTCACCCCAAAGATATATTGTGTGTAAATATTGTGTGATGTGTAAAGTGACATTCTAATCTGTAGTCACTAATGCCTGAAACTTTTTGTACTTTTGGAATGCTTCAGTCTAGCAGTAACTTACTGCTTGAATAACAGTTTATTCATATATATATTTTTTTCTCTTTGATCATTTGACCTCACTTCACAAAAGGTAGGTCCTTTGTACAGTGCCCTGTATGGTCAAATTACAAATTTCACGGTATGCTGTGTGTGTAAGTTGGGTGGGTTGTTTGTTTGGTTGGCTGTTTTGTTTGTTTGTTTTGTTTTGTTTTGTTTTCCTCCTCTTTCTTCCTTCTTTGCAATCTTGGCTCCATCAACATTTTCTGCTTGAAAAGGATCGCCAGTGTCTTAAAGTAAAACTTGATGTTGTGTGGGGAGAGACTTTCTTTCGTGACCTCTCATGGTGGCTCTCCTGAGCCTCCTTTAGGTTGCTGGTGTCAGTGAGAATAGTTTTGGTAGGCTTTATTTTAAGTCTTTATACTTTAACTGAATGGGAAAATGTCTGGTTTCTGAGCGTTGAGTGCTCTGATAGCAATGAGAGCTGAGCAGCTCTGAAATGGGACTGTGTGCTCCTCCGGTTATGAAGTGAGCTGCTGAGAGTGAACGTGTAATGATTGAAGTACAAGTCAACTCTACTGTCTGTTGAAAATGTTTGGGCCCTGGGGTGGGACTTCTTATATTCTTGCCATGGGTATTATCTTGCATTGCAGAAGAATGGTCTATCCTATTCATAATCCTATTCATGAAGGAGAATGGATGTGGGGACAGTTTCTAGAATATGTTTTACTTTTCCCCTTTGTAACAGCGTTGTGCAAAGCAGTCTCTTTGGAGTAAGTTAGTGATAATTGTTGTAGGTTATGCAATTTAGAACTGGGGCAGTCTGAGGCTCCCAGAACTGTATGTGTTATAGGGATTTCAGTGGGCTGTAATGTCTAGCAGACTCACTTAATCTCACAGCAAATCCTTCATTTTTATCCATACTATTAATGTATTCATGAGATTTGAAGAGAGGTAGTAAATTATTTTCTCAAAAGATGGACAAGTTTGATCTTGATGCCTGTCACATGGGGTAGCCCAACTTACATGAGAAATTCTTGCTGCATGAGACAAAGCTAAAAATCAGAATTAGGGCATGACTTATTAAATACTAGGTTACTGAATGCTGTGTAAGTTTTAGGGATTTTTTCTTTTTTTTGAGTATAAACTTAAAAATAGGGTTGTGCTGCTGCACAAATGAAATAGGCTTCCCTTTATACAAGAACTTTTTTATCGCAATGACTATTTTGGTAATGAAAATGTATTGTGTTATGTATCGTCTGTTAGTTCAGGGGAGAAAAATGGTTTTTTTTCCCCCTCTTGAAGGGAGATGACCTCCTGGATATGTATTTTAGTGATAAATGTGGGTGGGTGTTTCTGAGATCCCCTAAGCAGTTCTTTGTGAAGAATCTTCATGCATACAAGAAATGGATTTGCAAGAAAAAAACATTAGCCCTTCTGTTTCTTCTTTTTTGCCTTATTCTTGTAAAAAAAAAAAAAAAAGAAGTAGAAAACTGCCCCTGGAATTTTTTTTAAAAAAAAAAAAAAAAAAATAGTAGTAAACTTCCCCTGCAATTTAATTAAAAAAAAAAAAAATCTCATTTTGTTCCTTTTCTTAAAAAGCATTGTGGCAACTTTGGTTTTTTGGTACTTAGATTTTTCCAAAGCGTTCCCATGATTTTAAAGATACCATCTGTTTTAAATGAAGTTGTCTTATTTCAATGCGGTTGCTTGTCCTTGTGTTCAATGCTTATGAAGTATTATATAAGCTTTTATCAAATTCTGGAAAATCTCTATAGAAATGTCTGTAAAATACAAGAGCTATAAAATATCAGTTTTAAATGTACTCCTGGGTGGGTTGTGGTACATTTTCATACAAGAATACATAGTAAATCTTCTTAATCCTAATTTACAATGTAAATTAATCACATTGATTATTCACATGTCACTGTTCTGCATGCTGACGAGTTGTACGAATCAGCAAATGTTGCTGGTCATTCTGTGGCAATTGTCTTTGACCAGGGACTGATCAGACAGGTCATGCTATTTTATCTTGGTTTTTGGCTGCCACCTAAAGGGCCACAACTACCTTTTTTCTGAATTCAAAGTGTGTGTGGGTGTTTTTTGTTTGTTGTTTTTTTTTTGCGTTCAGTTGCTTAAAAGCTTCATGTAGGCAGACCACTAATCACTGCAATTCTGACTTGTACATAGTAACAACAACTGGCATTTTCTTATCATGTTTTCAATTCAGGCTCCTCTGAGCATGTTTTGAATGTCTACTCTTCAAGGAGGAGAACACTTTGCATGAGAAGTTGTAAATTAGTCTTCAAAAGCAGTCTGTTCTGTAACAAGTCAATGTGGTGCCTCTGCTTCACCTTTTATGCTTACTGGAAGAATCACTAGCTCTAGTATGTGAGGCTTAGTGATATCAGTGCTGTAACAGGATGACATCTTTTCAGTGGAGGAAGAAAACATATATTTTATGCAAGCAGCCTGATCCTCTGCCTGTTTTGCTTTAGGCTGCATATGTTTGCTTATCTTATTTTGAAAAGAAATACCATGTGTGTTCTTCTGTTTCAGCTGCAACAACTATTGACAGATCTCCCCCATGATATGCTGGAAGACAGTGGAGACCAGCTCTCCAGCTATTCAGACAGTAGCATTCATGAGAATGAAGAGCAGTAAGGCTTTTTTTGTTTTCTTTTTTTTTCTTTTTTCTTTTTTTAATTTAGGTTGTACTTTTGAGATGGAGTAAAATCTCACATAATCAAGTCTATAGAAACAATCTAAAAAAAAATAGGATCCATACTGTAATTCATAGTAGGGCTTGGGTTGCCTGGGAAACAAAGTAGATGTCAGTTAATTGAATTAAGGTTTTTGTTTTGTTTTTCTAGTATTATATAATAGTAAAGCCATCTGTATTTTTCCAGATCACATGAGCCCTGGGAGCATGATGGAAGGTGGAATGATCATCCATTGATTAATGATTGTCAGAATGCAAGTATTTTTTCTAAGCAGTCATCTAACTAATAGAAACTGCATGTTCAGAATAATTACTAATTTTTCTTGAAATTAATTAGAAAAGTGCTTTTAATGTAGGTGTTCTGTTTTCCTATTCAGTAGAATTATTTGTTCTGTTTTCTGTTGATAACGCCATAAAGAAATCTGAGTTTTGATAAAACAATTCCAAATCTTTTATCCGTTCATAGGGTTATGAACAAGGACAAAATCTGTTCTCTGAGCAGTTGTTGTGTGACCAGCAAAATAACCACATTGAAAAACCTTTGAAGAATTGGAATGGCCTATGTAATGATGAAGAAAAACGTTTGTACGAGATTAAGGAAGATTATGGTGGCCAAACCAGTCAAGAGGATTCCAGAGATGTGTATCTTGGCAGAGATGGGTATAGTGCTCCAAGCTGCTACCAACAGAGCAATGTGTATCATCTTCCAGAAAACTTCAGGCCCTATATGAATGGCCATAAACCAGAAATGAATAGTCAGCAAAGTAAAATAGTAATTTTTCCGGACACTTCAAAGGACCATCTTAAGGTATTTTAGAAGCTGATATGTATTTGCCTCTTTTGGAAAGATTTCACAGGTATATAGCTGCTGGCAGTAATATTTATAGATGTTTTTGCTTCAGAATTCCTCTTGATTGTCCTGTCTGGCTAGCTAGTCACAAGGTGCAGTTTGTGAGTGTGATGTAAATTTCGATGAGGGTTTCCAATTTAAGAGGAATGGATGAAGTTAAGTGCATACTTAAAGGCTTTGCTGGATTGGAGCCTAAAATCGGAGTTATGGTTAATGTCAATATGTAAATCAAAAGGAAAAATACTTTAATTGAGCAAGACTACAGTTGTAGCTTATATTTATTTGCTCTTATATTGTCACAGCAGCAGTTTGGTGCATCTGAAGTTGTTAGTGGCCAGTCCGTAGAATCTTACAAAGTGACATATAAACCATACCAAAATGGCATTCAGCAAAAAGTTCCAATAACTCAAGAAGGGACCAGAAGAAATGAAGTCTTTGAAGATTTGCAGCACGAATTTCTGGGCAGTGGTGAAAGTAAGTTTTTTGTTCGTTAGTCTTGGAAAAAGTCCAATATCTATTTCAATAGAACAACTAAAAATGTTAATGAACAGGAGAATCGTGTATTCTTTTTTTTTCTTTATTATGTTCCACTCTACACACACACGTGTGTATATATATATTTTTTTTTCTTGGGGGACATTGACCTTATAGGGTATTGAAAAAGGTAAATTTGATTAGTCAGGCTTTGAACAATAAGAAACAAAAGCTAGATGCGCTTGGAGCTGGATGCGCTTTTCTGTGAAGTGCACCTAAAATGAGAGAGCAACTTTGCTCTGTTCCCTTTAGGCATCTTGAAGAAAACTTTGCAACTGTCAGTGAACTGCCTGTGAGTTTACAGCATATAAATATTTATCTCTGAGCTTGTTATTAGTGATTGCCAGAAAACTATAGACAATGCACACCTAATAGAGCAACTGAGGTGACATGAGTGTAACAGGCAAAAAAGATGTGCTTCTGTGTACCAACAGTGAATTTGGCACTGTATGAGAGAATTTCTCAGGGGCGGAAATCATTTATGGTTATGACTTTAGTTGATTGCAGTTATGCTGACTTGTCTGCACACTTTTAAATTTGGCAGATTCTTCTGAGAACATGCAAATTATTCAGCTTCAAGTTCTGAATAAAGCAAGAGAAAGACAGCTGGAAGAACTTAACAAAAAGCTAGAAGAGAGTGCACAGCAGATTAGATATTTGAATCATCAACTTTCAATGGTCAAAGGTAAAATGTTTTTATAAAAATCTTTAATTTCTAGAATTAGTGATATCTAGCAGCTTGCTTGTTCTGAAGTTTGTTTAGTTAGTATTGATTGTATTTATGAGATTGATTTGTAATCAGGTGTGGATCTAACTCTCAAAATTATTTGAGGTAAGAAACTGAAATGAGACTTTTCTGCTAACTTTCTGCTATTGGCTATTTTCTTTCAGCTGGAGAGTAACCTGAAGTATCTTAACATCTGTTAAATGTACTGACATAGTCTGAGACTTTTTGTCAAGAATTTACAGAAGTTATTGTCATGATAAGACTCTGATTCAGTAAAATATTATCATCCAGACAATGTGCTGGCAAATACATAGAATAAATGCTCCTTTAGATTGGAGCCTAACTTGACTTTTACTGTATTGATTCTCAAGACCACCATCGTATTCCAGGCTTCCCATGTGCTAGACATTAGAAACATACAGAAAAATCGATAGTTTGCCAAAGCAGTGAGTTAAAGTACCAAAAAAAGGGAAACAAAGGGAGAAAAAAGCCCCCCTAACCCAAAAAAAAAAAAAAAAAGATACTTTAACTGAGCAATTTTCTGGAGTGTATATAGATAGAAGTTCCTCCGAAGCGATAAAGCTGGCATGGAGGCTGGTGATTGTCTTGGTCTGTTTTTATTTTTTGTATTTTGCTGCAGGAATAGGCAAGGATAAGTCATGAGCCTGGAGAATAAAGAACGATGTATAGTATGCAAAAAGAGCACAAAAAGATTTAAAAAAATTAAAAATGGCTGTTAGCTGTTTCACTGTGTCTTGGTTCTTAGCGCCAACACAACTGTGGAGTGCCGAGGGCACAACCTTTGAGTGCTGCTACCTGTCCCAGGGAGAACCCAATTGCTGTAGGTGGAGATTGGCTTTTTGTGATCTCTTGTCTCAAGCAGAGCTGGGGGAGCTTGGTTCTGTGCAGTAGGGTACTGAACAATCATGTTCTGTGTACTTGTTGAATGGATGTTGTTCCTTGTTTCTCTCAATTACTGTGTCTCTTTTAAGATGAAAAAGATGGTTTGGCTGTTAGTCTTCATGAGTCTCAAAAACTCTATCAGAATGGAAAAGACCGGGAGGTACATCTTGAAGGTCAAATAAAAGCACTTGAAACTCAAATTCAGACTCTTACTGCCAATGAGGAACAGGTACTATTAATTGTTTTTAACCTCTTAATTGTAGAAGACGTATACGATTATATCTGGTGCTTTTGCATTAAACATAAATATTACCTGTCTTGCATAGAGGAGAAGCTTTTATTCTGTTGATTCGATCACGAATTTCTGTTAATTATCAGAAACTGAATAGGATGCTTTGGTGGAAAAACAGCTTGTTGCTTAAATCTAGGCACTATATGAGGATTCGAGCAATTCTTGCCTGGAAAATCTGTGAACTGGCCTACAGAATATTGGAGCAAAAGTTAAATGAGTATAATTTTAGCTTGTTTCAGTAAATTGGATCAGAAGTATTTTGTCAGTATTCACTTAGCAGCTTGAGCCATACCTGTGGCTTTGAAAAACAGTCACGTTACCTACTAATATAGATGATTCAAATGCTAGATGTTAATGTCAAGAGCCTTCTTTAATGATGACTTTTTAATACATTATGTTTTTGGACCATCTTTTGGTTTTAAATGAGTCTCTTTGGCTGCAGCAGGCAGACTCTAATGAAAACAGTTATTTTGACCTATTGCATTCCTTAAGCCATGTTAATAAATTTTTTCACTCAACTTTTTTTTTCCCTCTCCTCCCTCTCCTTATTGTCTATTCCTGTCTGACATGCCCCATGGGATGCTTTATAAGGCTTTCACTGTTACTCCCCTGTTTCTGTGACTCAAAACAGGATGTTTTTACTTTTTGGTAGATAAATATACTGGAATTCAGATTGTGCTGATTATCTTAACAGCACAAAACTGTAATCAGTTTTAAGGACTCCTTCTTCCTTTCCCCCTTCCAAGTAATAAAAATATAAAATCTGGGACAGGAGACAAGAACTGAGTATTTTGAGGAGCATATTTTACCATCAGCTGTCAGATATAAAATGAAAGGCCTCTTCATGTAGGGATTCTTGAAGTAGAAAAGCTTCCATTTTTAAACAGGATTGTATCAACCTGCTCTGCTTTCCTTAAATTTTTTCCTTGCCATCTATGAAGGAGCAATAACCCCTTCTGGTTAGTGCTACTAACTTGCTTTTGTTGGGCAGGAGATGGTCAAACTACCTATGTAAACGGAATGCAATTGCTTAATTTATCTCCTGGTGCTCCTTGTTCCTCAAGGCAATGACTGGTTATTTTAGGATAGTTTTTAGACAAAAATGCAAGCAAACTGTTCATAAATACTGTTTTGGTGTGGGTGGATTATTTTTTGTCTTTGCCAGAATGCACTGAAACAGTGAAGACCCAGCACAAGGGAAATCAAATTCTCAGTTAGGTAACTGAATAGAGGGAGGTAGTGGTAGACTAAGTCCATGATTGTACTGATGCTATTTTGACCCTTTTGTTTAGTACTAGTTTGATGGGATGATTTCTTTTGTCTTTCTAGATCTAGGTGCGGATTTCCCCAGTTAATGCTCCTTTACAACATGATGATTTATTGAAGAATTTGAATTTTTGAGATATCTTGAGTTTTGTGTAGGTGTATGATAATGTTATATATAATACTGTTCCTACAGCTATTGAAACAGTCCAAAGTGGCAGAGGTAGCCATGGAAAGCATGAAGAAGCAGCTGTTAGAACTTCAGCGGTCAGATGCGCTTCAGCGAGCCCGAGAGCAACATGAGGCCATTATTTCAGCACTCAAGCAAAAGTATGAAAAGCAAGTTACAGCATTAGAGCAGAAACTTGATACTACAAGCTCTGCGCTCCGAGAGCAGGTGAGAACGGATCTGGGGACACTGTTGCAGGTGCTGTAGAGTTCCACAGCTGTTCTGAACAACACTTCTTGAACTGTAATCAGTATTTTTCCCTTCTGAAAGTTGTTAACGAAATGGAAAGTTATTTCCTGGCAGACATGACTAAACTTTTTGAAGCATAGAATAGCACATTATTATTGAAATGGGATCTAAATAAGTCAAAATGCAGGTTGCTATCCAGTACTTCAGCCAGATTTAACTGAAATTCAGTCTAAATAAAAGGTCGAGTAGAAATATACAAATCCTCAAATTAAAGCTTCTAGTTTTTTAAAAAGTTTGAATGTATACAGTCGTAACTTTGATTTCAGTAGGTAAGTATTTCTGAGCAGAGCTGTGCTGTTGCACACAGTTCTGTACTACAGCAAAAGAATAACTTGGTGTGTATATTGCATTCCACATTCAAATTTAATGAAAAATAATTGTTTCTGTAGGTGGCAGTTAATTCCTCCCCCCTTCCCTAAGAATTAGCATCAATAGAATTATTGTAGTGTGTGGCATTTTCTTGCCATTTAGGTATGTATGTAGCTTTGAAGGAGGTTTTTAGTTTCTTGTTATGTTGTCTTTTTATAGAGTTCAACCATCTTGACTAAATTAAATGTTTACTTTATTGGGTACTGATTTGAAAGCATGCTCTGCTTGAGAACCGATAATCTATGAAAATAATCAGTGTCCAAAAATGTTAGGGTGAAAGTCATATATTTTTTTTTAAATATTAATATGTAATTATGAATGCAATAGGGTATTTAACAGTGTAACTCTCAAGTGAAGAACAAGAGTGGCTTTGCGGTGTGCTATATTCATCAAATAACCTAAAGAAATAAAAAGTGTCCACTGCATAAGGCTAATCCATTAATTTGGGGAGGAGGGGAAGGTGACCTTTTTTAAGATAATCCTGTTCCTCCTACCTTTCTGGCACAGGTACATGATTCTGTTTTTGCTTCTGGTGATATGCAAGGACAGTGAATATTTGTGATATCTTGGTACTCATGGCTTTTAATTTTAAATCTACTATTAAAAAATCTGAAGAAATAAGACCACTATAATAGTTCTAAACTTTAAACAAGCTGTTCAGAATGGTAGTAACCTTCACTATAATTTTTTTGTATTTCATATGAGGGAGCTAAAGGAGACAGAATAATGCCTTTTATGAGAGTCAGTGTCACTATTTTTAACTGAACTTTTTTTTTTTTCCGTGTCATCATTCTTCTTGCATATTTATATTTCTGTCTCTCCCTCTTCCCTGTTCTTTCCTTCTTGCAACAGGCTCGATACAGGAGACAAATCAGTTACGGCTTCAACTGCAACAAGCTCAGTCTGCACACATGATAAGCAATAACATGAACAAGGCTTTGCAGGTTAATTAATTTTACTAAATATGTTACCACTTTTTTTCTAGAGAGATTTGTTATGAGTAAGAGATTGGTAGGTTGAAACTTTTTGCATGTTGTGGGAAACACATTTCTCTTCAGTAAAGGATTATCTATTCTTTCTTCCTCCATTATTGCGTGTTGGATCTGTTTTTCATTTAAAGAAATATATTGTTTGCAGGTATATCGGGTTTGCACTACTAATATCCTACATCTAGTTAGTCTGTTTATGGAACAAGAAAAATGTAGATTTGCAATTGGTATGTTTAGATATGACCAAGAATCTCATAAATAAGGCTATGGGAATAATTAAAAATACTATGTTTTGAGATGTGCCTTTTGCCAATAAGAGGGCGTACTAAGTGATGGAAAACAATCCTCACTTAAATTGCAGGTTTCCCTTACATTTGCTGGAGGAATGATAGTGTAAAAAAAAAAAAAACGTGTTTTGAGAAATTAAATGAATGCTGGAGTATTTCAATAAATAGAGTTAGAAATAAGACCACTATATATCGCCTTTCTAAGAAGAACTGTCACTTGAACTGGTTCGTTAGCTTGCAGTTTCTCAGCTCTATATGACTTATTTCTGTTCCTTCCTTTAAGGAAGAATTAATGGAACTGAAGAAAGAAATAACTCTGTATGAATCTGCTGCCAAACTTGGAGTATTTCTGAATGATGCAGGTGGAGAGCTGAGTGAATCTTATGTAGATCTGGGAATTAAACAATTCGACTGGAAAAAATCAAGATTTTGCAGGTATTGAATCATTCTTAGTCAAAGCAAAATCTAAAACTCTTAAGAAATTATACATAATATCTGATTTTTCAGTGAAAGATAGTCATTTAGGATCAATATGTAATTCAAAATATTTGAAATCATGTATATATTGTCAGGGCATCTGGAAGACATGAAACCAAATTAATACCATAATTTGGATTCCTAATTACTGGTTAACAAATATTTGGAATTTATAAGTCCAATATTGCCTTATTTTGGAGGGAGGGGATATTAGAAAATGAAGTAGATGCATCTTTTTACTCTAAGTTGCTCTAAAAACTTCTGATTAAAACTTTTCTGTTAATTACTAGTAGAGTAGGAGAGAAAGCATTTCCCAGGTGCAACCAAGTAATCAGGAAGTAGTTGTAATGCAATCAGCATTACATGGACGGGCAACTGGCTCGTGTTCCAGAAACCTTGAGCTCTGCTTAACTGTAGCTTATTCCAAATGGGTAAAATCTGGCATATCTAGGAGGGATTATAGTAATTTGCTTGGACACTTAATGTGTCTGCAGACAACAACTTAATGTCTCAGTAAAAGGCAACCATATCTTCACACATTTCTAGGGGTGGACTTCATGCTAATTATGGGGATATCTGCGTAGATACCATTGCGCTGAAACGATTTTGCTTAGCTACTTAATTCTAAAGCTATCTCTTAATACAATTAATCGAGTTGTTTCAAAACACCTCACAAAATGGAAAAAAACCCACTTTTCTATATGTTAATTACAACATGACTGATTAAAACATAAAACTTTTGTGTTTATTTCTCTTATACTTGAACCACTGTCTTACCAATAGAATTAGTTGTTCTTTTACTACAACTAACTTTCAAGTATCTGTGTGTACGTGTGTGTAGCATATTTTTGCTTGTTTTTGTGTTTTATAAAATGGAATTGGTTGTGTCTTCCCTACTAGTGCAATAAAAAATAGAGACCCAGACAAAGAACTTTCTAAAGATGAAATTATCGTAGAACTAAAAGCTGAACTAGAACGGTCATTGAGCAGTAATAAAACAAAGAGAAACCAGGTTACTCAATTGCAGAATGACCTTAAAGATTGCCAGAAAGCATTAGAAGAATGCAAACAGCTGCTGAAAGCAGAAGAAGCATCAAAAGCCTTAGAGGTTTGTTTTTTTGTTGTTTTGTTTTGTTTTTCCTGACGTTAAAATAAAAAAGGTACTGGATTTAAGTGAACCAAACCAATGTTTAAATTTCTTATGATAACAGACCGAAGAATGAACTTAAAGCTGTGTATTTATTACAATTAAGCAAACCTGTGTTTGATGCTCAGGTCAATTTTGCTGTTTTGGTGCTATTTCCTTCTGCCTTTTTTTTTTTTCTCCTTCCCTCCCTTCCAAGGTCGGGGGCGGGGCGGGGAAGAGTGGGATCAGAACTCTTCCACTGATGAAAGTTATTGTCATTTAGTCTCAAAAAAGACCTCATAATTTCTGGGAGAAAGCTGAGAGTATCAGGTTGTACATGGAAAGTATGCCCCCAAAGGGATGGTAGTTGCCAGTGAGCCTGCAAACAGGCTTTTGCACATGCTCTTTGGAACTTCAAAAATCCTATGAATTTCAAGAATTCATCTGGAATAACAGTGATACTATTTTTGCTGTGATCATTTCCTTCGTTCTTTTGTAAAATACTTATTCAGAGGTTAACTTTTTTTAAAAAAGCGTCAACTTCTCAAACAAGTCTATCTTGAAAGATCTGACTTTAATTTTGTTTGGTTTTAGCCTGTGAAAAATCTGAATGATACTTTAGTGGCTAGTCCACCTGTTTCTGATAATCTTAAGGAAGAAGTTCTGAGACTCAGAAAGTCTAATGAAACTTTGATGCAAGAAGTTCAGGTGAGATTGAAAAGCTGTATATTCCTATAAATAAAAAACCTCAGTAAAATAGTGCCCAAATCTGCAATTAAAGTTTCCTTAAAACCCTTTTATTTGACTTTTGTCCAGAACCATGCTCTGACTATTGAAGAGCTGAAATCAAATGAGGAAAAACTGAAAAATTCAAATCAAGATCTCTGTTTTCAGATGAGACAGATGATTCAAGATTTTGATGAGGATAAACAAGAAGCCATTGACAGGTAAGCCTTACTTCTATTTACTAACTTTAATCCTGTTTGTTTGTGCGTGTGAATTTTTGCACCAGATATCTATAAGGAAGAGCAGCATTAAAACCATAGTTTTACTCTAAAAAGAAAACAATAAATAAATAATTTACTCTTCATGTTTTCCTCTTTGCAAATCACAGGTGTGAAAGAATGTATCAGCAACATCATGAGGATACAAAAGCCCAGTTGGAGAAAGACCTTATAGAGAAATATACCGAAGAAAAACAGCAGCTTATTCAGGCTTATGAAGAGACAATATCACAGTTTAAGTAAGGCTTGTTCTTTTGGTTCTTACTCAAAATTTTCAGTAATTTCTCTCATCACTCAATGCTAGTTACTCTTTTTACAAAAGAGAAAAAAAAAGCTTGCTATTTGCTGAATGTAAAGACTTATAATAACTTATAAATAATATGTGATCTGAAGGGCTGACATAGAGGTGCTGAACAAAGAGATGACTGCAGTGAAGGAATGTTATATATCAGTTTGTGGTGAGAAGGACATCTTGGAAGCTACCTTAAAGCAGAAGTTTGAGGAGGAGCAGCAGCTGAAGGAAGACAAGGTAATGATGAAAATACCTATAAATCTCTCATTTCAGACTGTTTTATTTTTAAGGTATATCAAGAAATGTATTTAATTGCTTTTGAGAAGATTTTGGGAAACTATGCAGTTATATCAGAAACTTAACAAGAGTGGGCTGTTGGTTGTTCATTTAACTTGGTAGGTGTCTTATAGATAAAAATATAGAAGTAACCCCTCCCACTAGCTACTTATTTTCATAGTGGTTTTTCTAAAATCATGTTTATGACCCTTTATGGGGCTGAGTCAGCAATGGGAATTTTTATATTTGACACTTTTCCAACAAAACACTTGGTGATGATGGAAGTTGTCATCTCATTATTGAAAACTCTAATGCAAAGATACTATTAAATAATAAATTGAATTTAAATCTTTGATTTAAAATCTTGTTTTGCTTTTTAACCCCCCTCCCTCCCCAGGTTAAGAAGCAACTACTACAAGAGAAGGAAGACGCACTTCGCAACCAGAGGATGGAGCTTGAAGAGAAGTACAACATTTCTATTATAGCAGCAAAGAACCAATGGCTGAAAGAAAAAGAAATTTATATTAAACAGCAGGTTGAAAAGGAAGTTGCATTAGTTAAAATCCACTGGGAGAAGGAAGAGAAGGAGGTGTGGAGCTTATACTGGGGGTTTTGAAATACTTTTTTTTTTTTTTTCCTCAGAAGAAAATACACTTGTAAATTATTAATTTGCCATTTCAAGTAGTTGTAAAGGATCTGTATTTGTAGACATTTCTGAAGTCAAGTAGGTATTACACGCACTGTAGAGATGTCTTACTTCAGCAGGTTATTAGCTATGATTATATTTTCAACCTAGTGTCTTGAGTGAATGTTTACACAAAGGAGTTTTATATGGCCCCCAAATAAAAGACAGAAAGTGCATCTCCCAATCCCTTTACAAAAGGTATAGCCAGCAGGGTACTTGTGGGGAGGAAGGAAGGACCAGACATAAAAGGACCTAGTAAGAAATGTCTCGAAGTTTAAATTTTTTTTTTCTTCAGCAATGTAGATACCTGATTTGGAAGGAAGAAATGCACTGACTTCTGAACATGTTTTGCTCCTCTGTCAGGGAGGATTACTGGTATAAAATCAATTTCCCCAGCATGGATTTTGTTCTTCTTAGATGATGGTGCAGTTTGATTTACTTAGACATTGGGGAGATTTCTTTTTAAAAATATATATATATTTTCTTCCATAGAAAAAAGAACAAGTCATTGCAAAAATAGAAAGAGAATGGCAAAGTAGACTGGAAGAAACAAGAAGAATTTTAGTTGAATATAATGACTACAGCACCCAAACTGATCAAATAACGGTTACGGATGAAAGCTCATCTAAAGAGTTAGCAAGGATTGTTGAGGACCAGAAACTGCAGCTCCAGAAGGCATTGAAAGAAAAGATGGCCTCTGAAGAGGCCTTAAAAGAACTTGAAATAGAACTGGAAAATAAATACCATAAAAATCTTTCCAGCCAGGTAACAAATAATTATTCTGTCTGCCTGGAGCCTGTAAACTGACATGTGCAAATGTGCAGAATAGACCTAGATATATTTTTAAGCACTGTCGCCTTACCTGTTCTTGAGTAAACTCTGCTCATTATTTACTGAAGAAGCAGTAACATATTTTGTAGTTGTTATTTTTTCACACTTTACACAGTTGGTGAAATTCTGCAGGAATTTTGAACAGAACTGAGCATAACTGACATAGTTTTATACCTTTTTCTTTTAAGGAAAAAATGGCTTGAAATTGTTATTATTTTAGTAGATGAGAACAAGAAATGCAGAAGATGTAGGAAGTCTGATTTATTTTTTATTTCTATATACGTAATCTAAACTAACTCTTCACTGCTTTGTTTAAGTAGCAATGAAATTGTTTTCAATTGTGGTCGTTAAAGTAGCTTCTTTTCCCTGTTTATAGGTAGATGCAGCTTTAACACAAGCTCATGCTAGGTGGCTTCAAGAATTAACAGACCTCAAAGAGTATAAAATAAATCTAAAGGCAGAACAGGAAAAATGGGAAAGGGAGCATGCAGAGAGTGCAGCAAAACAGGTAGCACAGAATACTTGTGTTTTATATGTACTGCTAAACTGTTCACTGTTCTAACTCTTGTATACAACCTGAGAACGTTTACAGACCGAATTGGGGAATCATTAACGAGACATATTTCTAGTGTCCTTTGGCATTGAGGGTTTTTTGCCTGCAGGATTATGTTTTTTATGAGATAATTTGAAAATGATTTCTGAAAGATTGCTAGTGATTCAATATGAGAGAGAAAATATGAAAATGACTGCAGAGCGAATTGGTGGGTAATGCAGAACCAGAGAAGTTTATAGTTGGGTAAGTACAAAAGATAGGAGTTATTAATAACTAATAGGAGTTATTGGGCAGAGAGGTTTTAACTATACCTTATATGGTATATACTGGATTGGAACTGATGGATTGTTCTGTCCAGGTTGTCAACATCTAAGGAAGGATATCGATATTCTGTGGCACTTTTGTGTCAGATTATTAAAGCAAGCCTATTAACAAGATCACGTGCCCTTTTTCCTTTAAAGGGGGCATACTTAAGTCTTTTGATTGGATTGCTTCATGCCAGTCATAGAATAACAGAACATCTTAGTTTGGAAGGGAAATCTGGTGGTTGTATCTCGCTCTTCAAACTGGGGCTGAATTGGTCATTCAGTCAAGCTGATGTTTATGCCAGATAAGCATTCATTCTTTGCTGAAAACACTGGCTTTGTACATCCAGTAAATGGAAGAGTAGTGATCCTCGAGGATCTCCATAAAAAGCTGCAGCCCTTTCTGGCTGAAAGGATTTTGTGGCCTTAAATGAGTGACCCCTTTAAAGTCTTTCTATATTGTAGGGAGTGAGAGGATGTGTGCGGGAAAGGCTGTTGGTTTATCTTAGTCAGCAGTACAGTGAAATTCATGTATGGTGGTGATATTCAGGTATTCTTGACTCTTGATGTAGTTAATTATGTAGTGCATTGTGCTTTAAAATGAATTGTTTGTTAATGAGCTGTCTCTGTTATATTCACCAGTTAGCTCTAGTTCTCTCAGCTGCTGAAGAGAAATGGAAGAAAGAATTGGAGAATACAGAGAAATCTGGACCAAGAGTGAAAGAACTTGAAGAAAAGGTCCTTTCTCTAAGAAAGGAATTGGAGCTAAAGAAAGAAGAAATCCCTGCCACTATCAAAGCAGAAGTAGCAAAAGCTCGTGCTCAGTGGAACAAAGAAAAGCAAGAAGAAATCCTTCAGATCCGGGAGCAGAATGAAAGAGACTACCGTTCATTTTTAGATGATCATAGAAACAAAATCAAAGAGGTACTTGCAACAGCAAAGGAAGATCTTGTAAAGCAGAAAAATGACCTGTCTATTCAGAAAGAGGCAGAAATAAAGATGTTGCTAGACCAAAAGCAGCGAGAATGGGAGGGTCAGCAAACAAAGAGACTCCAGAATGAAATTAATCAATATGAGGAGAGGATGCTGTTTGAGCTGGAGGCCTTATTAAGAGAAATCCATGAAGAACTAGTCAACTGCACAAATAACGAGCCGTCTTGGAAGGATCAGTGCTTCACCACTCCTTCTGAATTAAATCATCAATGTAAAGAGAAACTAAAGGCTTGCCTACAGAAGGCCTACAGAAGCACAATTTACATAGTTCTAGCAAAGGCTGAGCAAGAATGGAAAGAGGTAATGTTTCTGTAAACTACAACTACCAACCAGAAGAGAGATTTAGGAAATGATAATTTGACCCTACATTATTTTTTGGTAATTAAAAAAAAAAAATCATAATCCTGAGAATCAGGCCTACATTTGAGTTCATTAATAGCAGTCCATTAGAATTGTAAAAAGAAGCTAAATCTACCTCTGACAGGTGAAAAGGAAGAAGGTAGGTGTAGCTTTCACATTCTTAATGCTTAAGTTAGAGAAAATCTGGTTAGAAATCACAGTAATGACTTCTAGTATTAGAAATAATGCGAACCATCATCTTCAGTTTGGGAGCTTGTTAAGAACCTCTTGTGATCTTTAGACTGGTAGGTCAATAATTAGGGCTGTGAGCTGTCGGACCAGTCTATGCAATGAGTGCAGGTTACACCCTGGAGTAGGATGATGATTGCACAGTATTGGTCTGACACCACGGTTCCAACAGCTAATGCATCTGTAGTGGTGGAGTGCCATCATTTTAGCTAGTTGCCTTAATTGCCATTAAGGTAAGCCAAGTTAAAGTAAAAACAAATCTAAGGTAAAAGCAAATCTAACCAAAAAGCAGAAAACTGTACTCCAAAATGGGTTATTTAGAGAAGCTTATGACGACAGACAGAAAATCATGCTTATTAAGGTTTTGAGTTATGTCCAAATGTTCCCCTGCCACGTATATCAAGTGACAAACTGAAATATTCACTATGTGTGGTAAGGCTCTTGGTCTATACGTGTTTGCTCATGCCTTTGTGTACTTAACAAGTATTAGGCACATACCCTTTTAAAACAGGTTTGCTGCAGCTTATTCTTATAATCCTGACAAGCCTTTAAGGAAAGAACCCCCAAAACATGGTTTTGCACCTCACTCTACAGGGTGTTTGTTAGAAACAGTATGTCATTGATATCCCTATGATTTCTTTTTTTAATTTTTTTTGAGGCAAAGTAAAACAAAATATTTTCCTAATTGCAACAGAACACAAAATAAATGATAAATAAACATAGCTGAAGCACTCTGGCTCATAACCTAGAGATTAAATGGTGAAATAACATGTCATTCAGACTGTGATTTCCATCTGTTTCTTTGTAGTCAGTGAAACTACACAAATATAAAATTATTGTAAAATACAGGGCCTGATGATTAGTCCATCCACAAAGCTAATTATCTTCTATCAACCTTTCTGCCTTCATTAGACATTAATTTTCTGTGTTGCTTTTAAGGGTCTTGATTTGAACTGATTCCAGTATTTAGTGAAGATATTTATCCTGGAATATGTTTTTACCAAAGTAATTGGTGATTAAAACGAAAATACCGATCAGTAATTCATGGTTGATGGCTTTCATATATGTGAACTCTTTTGGACCATAGAGTGGGAAGACTTTCCATCACCTTGCGGGGAGTAATTTAGTGGATTGTAATGTTCCACTGAGGTGTTTGCATAGTGACTTTTTCTTCTGATATAAGTAAAAGTGAAAACATTAAAATCTTCTTGCAGATTATCTGTAGTGGAACTAAAAAAAAAAAAAGATTTTAAATGACAAATTAGGGAAAGGATTATGATTTTTTTTTCTTTTGATATGCATGCCTGCATGAGGAAATCTATGCTATTTCTGTTTTAGAGAAGTTTAGCACTAAGCCGAATTTTATCCAAAAGGTTCTTTTGTTTTTCTATTGTTTTGACAGATTCCTCTTTTGCAGTGCTTATGCTTGCAGTAAGTTTTTGATTATGGGGAGCATCCCATCGGAAATGCCATTGCTACCCAACATTCAGCAGCTGTGAATTTATCCTAGAATAGGACAGAAAAATAAATTGCCTTATTCTTTAAGAAAAGGCAGGGAGACGGGTAGTGGTGGAAATAACTTCTCATGATGCTGTTATACCATTTCGTAGTTGTAGGAAGTTTCTGTCTAGAATTTATTCTTCTAAAGGTTTCCTGAATCATATGTTACACAAAGAATCAGAAATTTTTGCTTAAGCTTCATATGTTTCTTGCAACAGATGTGCATGCCTCTTGGTAAACTGTTGTTAATATTCAAATGCAGTTCAAGCCAATCAATGCTTTGAAGTCTCTTAATAGTAGTAGAGTAGTAGAGAGGCAGAGTTTTCTTAGTAGTAGTAGAAGACATAGTAATGTCTTCTTTTATAGCATGATACTAAAGAAAAGTAACATTATTTTTCTTTATGACTTCCTGTCCCTCTATTAGCCATCTTTATGCAGAAACTCCCTAAATGAGTCAAAAATCTTTCTGCTAGATATGCCCTTGAATAGTTGAAGTTTACTTTTTATTTATTATTTAGGACACTGGTTGGTGACGTTAAGGGCTGTTGCATTAAAGTTTCTAAAGTAAAGCTCTCGGGATAATTACTATTGCAATGAATTATACTGGGTACAGCTTAGCATGTTGGATAGAGATTTTCCTCACGATTGAATCTGTCATGTACAGTTCTGTGTCAGATTTTAAACCTAAGATAAACTTACTAAAACTATTTGGGCAACAAAGGGTGACTTGTTTTTCCTCTTAACACCTAATTTATTTAAGTAAGTTATTGGGTTTTTTTTTGCTCTATATTGAGTTTTCAGAAAGTGTTTTCAATTGCAGAAATATGAGCAACTACTGACTAAGGTAAATGAAAAAACATACTGCTGTGTGCAAAGTGGTGAAGGAGAAACTGGAGAAATGGCAAGACCTCCTGTGTACAGTGTTGGACACCAAATAGAAAAGCAAAGAATGCCAAGACAACCTCCTTCACAGGAAACGGAAACAGATAAAGGTACTGGTTTTGTTTTAATTTAATTGATGATAAAATCAAGGCGTTAAGCTTGTTAATAGTAGTCTTTAATAATTGATAATTGAATATACTGCATGCTTACTTACCTAGTGAATGTATCGATGACAGAGGAATATGCAGTTTTTCTGACATTGTATTGTTTAATGCTGTGTAGCTTGTACTATATTAGAAGTGCCCAAACTGCATGACAAATGGTGCTAATCTACTGATTATTGATCTAATGGTAGACTTCAAGCTTTAATTTAATGAATATTAGTAGCTTTCTACTTTTTAAAGCTGTTTTTCAGGAATTAATAGTATCTGCTGCAGATTTACTACTCCTAGGTGACTCTGGATAGAGGAATGCTAGTGCCTTCTGTATTTGGCAGCTAGTAAACAAGACCAGGCTGAATATACCATGCAGAATATAATCCAAACTGTGTCTCAAAAATGGGTAATATTCAACTAGTGTTTCGAAGATCAGGTGTTACTTCATCTCATCAGTAGACAAGATGAAGAATTCTGCCTTCATGTAAAACATTGTCATGTTATACTTCACCTGGCATAGTAGTCATTCAGATTTTTTTAATCTAGAAATTAATTCTGGAAAACCTGAATTGCAGGATGGGGGTTGGTGGGTGTGTGTGTGTTTCTATTTTTTTTTTTTCCTCCTCTGCAGCATTGTAGCTCTTTCCAAACCATCATGCATACTATGGAGATGGTGTAGTTGGAAGAAAAACTTCATGGGAGGCACAGTAATCTCTCTTGAGCTTTCTGTTTAGTTTGAGTTCTTACGCAACCAAAAAAACATAAAGCAACAAAGCCCAAGAGAATCTTTGGCCTTATGCCTATAATGTGGCTTGAATTCCTTCAACACCAAAACAACAAGCCATCTATTAAACACAAAACAATACAAGCAACGTGGCTCTTTGGTCTCTAGAGCTCCCTGTACTGGCTATAGAGAGCAGCCTTTGCCCTTCTGGAAGTGGCCCAGTCTTTGTAAATCTCTTGGCTTAACTAGACTCAGCCACATGTGAGCCTTCGCAGCAGGTAGCGCCTCCCCTGCAGATGATTCCAAAAGCCTCTGTTTGTGTTTTTTTGTTTGTTTGTTTTTTAATGTGCAAATGTGATACCACAGTCTATGCTGAGACCTCTCTTTAGATTCAAAGCATGACAAATATGGATGTACTGAGGCTGAAAGGGCTCAAATACTTGATAGATAATGCTGTACATTCTGTAACTGAGGTCAGCCTGTTGTGATTCTTTTAATTGAACTAATACACTGTATGCGTTCCTAGTGAAAGAAGGAATATCCAAGTGCACCAGTGGAAATGGTAATGTTGGGTTTGATTCTTTTTGATCCCATGGGTGATATATAACATATAGTAATTGCTATTGCAGATGAGAAATGTAAGAAAAGGAACCTTTGGGCTCATGAAGATTTTTGCTCTGAGTGCTGCTGCCAAGAGCTTGAAAAAAAGGAGACTTTGTGCCAGGATTTGAAGAGAAAGTTGGAGAAAGCCTGCAGACATCTTCAATTTGCTGTAAGGGAGCACAAAGCTAAGACGGAGCAAATCCAAGGTTAGGATTGTTACATAGAGAAAAGCTTGAAGGAGCTCTGCCTTACTGGCTGCATGGAATCTCTTTAATCTCTTGTGTCATATAGCTTTCAGTGGATGCAAATAGGATGTGTGTCTGTGTGTGTCTGTGTGTGTGTGTAAAAGGCAAAAAAAAAAAACAACAAAAAACAACAACAACAACAACAAACCAAAGCATAGTGGAAAAATGATTACTTCTTGGCTGTAACCATTACGTATCACATGTGTGCATTAAGAACAAAATGCGGGAAAAATGAACACGCAGCAGATGGTCTTTGTGTACATGTGGATCCCATTGCCAGTGAGGGTTATACACATCTGTGTGTGTGTGCGTGTGTGTGTGTGTATACATATATATATATGTATATTGTGTATATATATGTATATATATGTATATGTATGTATGTATGTATATGAGTCTGGGAGGTCTTTAGCTGGCTCTTTTGAGACTGTACTGGTACTGTGCTCCTATGCTCCTACTCATCCCACCATGGTAGGAGTATACAGAGCAGTGTGGCCCCAAATGCTGCTTGGTTACTTTTGGTGCTAGTGTTAAAAAGCCATTGTCCACAGTTTTCTTGTATCTTCCTGCTGTTAGTAACAGATTTTAGCCTTGTTCTCTCTCTCTCTTTTTTTTTTTTAAGGTTAAACTAGTATTTTAAGTAGTTCTTGCATAGTTTCTCTTGCCTTTTAAATCAAGATATTATTTTTGTGTTCCTTTGTAACAGAGAAGTACAGGGTAAATGACAGAGAAAGGTCTGTAATTCTTGTATCTTTCCTATGTCAAAAGTACGTCACCCATGGTAGATATTGAACACCTCGACTGTTCACTGGAAGTTTGAATGCAAAGCAGGGATCCCACTGGAAGTATAGAAATTAGGTTTTTCTGAAGCTACTTTTAATAGAAAAAGATAACACAAAGTTATCGACTTGAGGTTCCTCTACTGTAAGTTTCTGCTTCTGATTAAGAAGTGATACATTCCAGTAGTTGAATTTTAGCAAACAGTCTGCAGACTGGGAAGGTTTCAGATCACAGAGTATAAGTGTTTGTCCTCATATCAGTCTGGCTCTGGAATAGTGTTGTTTTGCTGTGATAGTCTTTATCTAACACTTCTGGCGCTATTGCTATCAAATAGTACCAGCACTACACATGCTGGCTAATGGTAAAACCTCCCTGAGACTTTGTCATCAGCTTAGTTAAATGCAGTATTATCTGAATTAATATTGCTACTTGTTTTTTTTTTTTTATCATACTCTTGCATCTTGTGCATGTCATTTTTTTCAGGATAATAGATTCCATCCATTGCTTTTTGCAACTCGGTAGAAGTCTCTGCCCACAGCAGGAACTGAGCTAGCAAGGATAACTCTTCTGTATTAACCCCCACTGTAGTACCTGTAACTGTCTGTCTTAGCTCTCCCTTCCTGGGTCTTGTATTTTGGTTGGCTGCTCAGAGGAAGTCTCACTGATTCATCTGTCTCTAAATAGCAACAAACTTTACCTAGGTTGGCCTGTGAGAGCAGCTGTAGAAAGATTGCCTGCCCTGCTTAGTACCTATGCTTGAGAACATTTGTGTTCTTTCATGTTTGAGACATAACTTATCAGGTGGCACAGGGTTCCCTTTCAGTTTGTATCTGAGAAACTCTTTTGCCTCGTACTCAGGTGTATTCAAGTTGATAGAGATTCCTGTTTTAATCATTAGAAGAAAGGGGATGATGTTCTCTCTGAAGGAAAACATGCTGGTGATTTGACAAAAGAGTTTTGTGCTCCCAGACATGTTTGAAGCAGTTAAAGCTGCACACAGGAGTGTCCAGGCCATTTTTAGGCTCCTCTTAGAGAATGATAGGAATTGGACTTGCTGAACATCCAGGTTCAAGAGAGATCTCAGCTGCTTACTTAAGGGGTCAGCAACTACAGAATTACTTAGGCCTGCCTTGGTGAAAGATACTCACGGAGATGTGGCAAGTGGCTGGCTCAGAGAATAGGTGCCAATTAGTAGGTTATACCAAAGGACTCAACTCCTAACGTGTCAAAGACTATGCTTGCAGTGTGGAGTTTTTCAAAATATGAAAACTCTTGGTTGTCCACTGTAATAAATTTTATGCTCAATGAGGATCATTAAGAGCTGTATGTTGTAAGGAAAAAAAATGTAAACCACAAATGAGAATCATTGAAGGCCACGAATTTTTCCAAACTTGGGTTCTCTTGTATTGCTTCGTTCTGTATTCAAGGATTGTTTCTTGCATTTTGTTTCTTCCATGTATCATCCTAGAAAAGGAAGCAAAACCTCTCTGCCTTTTGTATGGCATTTTTCATTTTTCTTCATATTTTTCATTTTTCTATATTCCATCCATGAAAACTGATTCTTCCAGCAAAGACTCTGCTTATTAAAGACACATCCCTCCTTGATTGTGGTAACACTTATGTTCACCTAAGAATTTCTGTGGCTGGATGCATTAGTGGTATCTCTAGCAAGCATAGGTGCCGAAGGACAGGTAGGAAGTGTAACCAGCTTATGCTGCTTTTCTTTCCTAAATTAAGGAACTTACAACCATGAAACCTTCAATTGATTAGTATCCAAGTTTGTCTATCAATGGACCTTAGTCCTTTTCAAAAATAGCAATGTCTTGAATTCTATTAAATGGCTGGTAAATGGATTTTCAAGGTCTTTAACCTACGCTTTAGGAAACGACACCAGCGGTCAGATAGTGTCAGCGCTAGCTCTACCTCATGGGCAACAGCCTTTGGTACAGGTCCCAGGTTTGGGACCTTCTGTTGGGTCTATTGATGCTCATTCCATGTGCTGACTCATAATACTTAAATGATTTTAGAAACACTAAGCGCAGTTCAGCATGAAAGTCTAACCTTTTTCTGTAACACTAGCTTGTGATCATTGAGCAAGAGACACTTTTATCTTTTTCCATCTCCAGGAACCTACAGATGTTAACCCACAAACTAATCATTCTTTTCCAACATTTGTCAAAACAACCCTCATTATTCCTTCCTCTCCTGCCCTTTCTATACCCTCACTTAATAATATCTGAAGTTTAACCTCAAGTTCAGGCTTTGATCATCTTGTAATTGCTTGTTAGAGCTGTCTGTAAGCTGTTGATGCTTTTTGACACTGAATTCCTACACCAGAAATAGCAGTTACTATATAGTAGCTTATGTTCACATCTATTAGAATTGAGAGAAATACAATGAGTTATGATTCATGACTTCTATTTTCTGTAGAAAATCAGAAGACTTTAGAGGCTCTGATTGCAGAAAACACTGAGATGAAGGCTAAACTAAAAGACCTGAGAACACCACCAAGGTAATAATAAATAAAGCAATATTTTCATAAGATAAGCTGCCTTCCTTGCACAGTATGACTTGTGTGCTTTTCAGGTCACTGTCAGAGGGAGCCATCTCAAAATCCTGTACATCCTGTGACAGTGTAAAAGGACTGGAGGAAATGCGTGTTCAGTACATTAAAGCTGTGAGCAAGATTAAGAGTAAGTATTAAAGCTCGTAGAGCAAAATAATTTACTTTGCTGTCAGTTTCCTGTGCAATTTGGCTGAAGGAGGAAGAACTAAAAAAAGTCATGGGAATTACATTTGCTTTACTATACTAAATGTCTTGTGAACTGATCTTATTTCTCCAAAATCTGCCTACCCCTTTAGTCTCTCCTGAGGGAGAACCCACTTCTGTACGACCTATTTCTCTTCCTGTGTTCTTGGCCTTCTGGGCTTTAGTCGGCAGCCTTTTGGCAGAGGAGAGGGGATTCAAGTCCAATGCTAGGTCTTATTTGACAGCAGCAGGTCCCCAAGTGCCAGCTGTACTGCCATCGAAGAATTCCTGGACCCGCATTTACCAACCTTCCTCTGAAATCCTGCGCTTAGCATGGCTATTGGCCAAATGCTGCGGAGGAACAAGTGACAGCCAATATGAAACATTAAACAAGAACTTAACTGTCTGGCTCTGGGTCTTGCACAGCACTTAGCCAATGGCAACCCGAGGAATGGGGATTTGGGAGGAATGTTGGCTGGTGAACCTGGGCCCTTGCTGCCTTGCTCCAAGTCTGCTAGACGGTCCCAGTTCCTTTTTCTGTTCAAGGAGTCAGCACTGATGGAGTGTGTTTGCATAGGTGATATGCTTTGTTATATCCGTGAAAGTAAGGAGAGAGCAGCTGAAATGATTAAAGTGGAGGTTTTAAGAGAACGTCAAGAGACTGCTCGGAAAATGCGCAAATACTATCTGACCTGCCTTCAGCAGCTGCTTACTGATAACGGGAAGCACGAAGGGTAAGTTCAGTTCCATTTCTCTGGAAATTAGTATGGCTTTTGAAGGAAGCGCAGGAAACTTCTAGTTTAGTGTTGAGTTTGTTTGCTGGTGGTTCAGCCCGTCTTAGAGCAAGCCATGTCTAACCTGAAGTCTTGCTGGGCTGCTTTAGGAGTATCCCAGTAGGTTGCCGTGGGGTTTCCAGGGATTTTCATGACTGAAATCTGTTGAATAGTCTGATATATGTTATACTACCTTTCCAAGGTTCTCTGACTCTCCCCAGTATTTCCTTCAAGTAAAACGCAGAGTAAAACCAAAGAAGCACTGTGGTTTTGCAACTTTTGTACATTTTAATTTTTGAAAGGAAGACAGTTTTGAAGGTGATCTTTTAAGGCTGAAGTAGTAAAGTGTATTTGTTCTTTGCTGTTGTGAGTTGTCAAGAAGACATTAAATACTTAAAACAAATTCTACTTTTTTTTTTGATTTGTTTTGTTTCCCTTGGTCTTGCTGGAAGACTTGCCAAAGGCTCAGACCTTCCTGAGCTTTAATTGAAGAAGCAGGGCTGGTTTTGGACTGTCAACAAATCTTTCTTTGGAATGTGTGGATGGCAGCTGATCACTTGTGGGTTTTTTTGTTGTTGTTTTCTTTTAATGCTTATTTAACAGTGGGTATTAAACACCTCTAGATGTGCAGTGCCTTTGGGACTGCAGTTTTCTAATGATTTGTTGTTTATTCCAAGATAGAATCCTATAAGCCTTATCTATTGCTCTATAGTAGAAATAAAAGTTAAGGATAGTATTTTGAGCAATGACTATTTGAGAGTGAACATTAGAAGCCTTTCTTATGGTGTGTAGCTTTTGCCTAAAAGCAAAGGAGCAGAAGCTAAAGCCAAAAAACAAAACAAACAAACAAAAAAAACCCAAAAAACAAAGAAGAAACAACAAATTCTTATTTCCTCTGTAATATAGATCTGTTAATAAATGATGGCTGATGAAATGGCTTATGTAGAAAGTGTATGCATTCTGCTGTTATTTATTGATTGCTTTAGCTGAAATGACATAAGAAAAACTAATTAACCTTAAACTTTTTTATATGTTCTGCAATTCTTGGTAGAGCTGAAAAAAAAATAATGACTGCTGCCAGCAAGCTTGCTACAATGGCTAAAGTCCTTGAAACGCCTGTTCGACGTGTACCCCAAAGCAAAACTACCCGCTCAGGTCTGTTGGGTGATATAGTTCTGGTTCTCTTGTTCTAAAGGTTTAATGTATATAGTACTGAAAATACAAATGAGTGGTGAAATAGCAGATTTGTTGTTGTTGTTTTTGTCTTTTGGTAAGCCTGTGAACTGAAATGTAGACATGAGCTGCTTATTTTGATGATGCTAATATTGACAATTCTTTATAAAAACATTTTTTCTTCCAACCTTAATATCTCCTTCAATTAATCAATTTCCTTCTCTTCTCTCCTAGTTGTGCCATTAAATTCTGATCTTCCAACTGGAGTTGAGCACTCAGACAGGGATTTCGTGCTTCAAACTAGGCCAAACTGTATGGAAAGCAAATCATGTGCTGAAAATATTACCCAAAAAGCTAATGATAAAGTTGTACAGAAGTGTGTACCACATGACTTGAGGCAGCAGTTTGATGCAAGACAGACTGAAACACAATATGTGCTTCATAAAGGAGGGACTTCAAGTATCCAGAATGGGAATAATTGTAAGAGCTTACATGATGCCTCAAGAGATGCCCTGTCAGAGCTTTATCCAAATGAAGGTAGAAGAGAAAAATTTGGCCCCATCATAAATGCAGATAAAAGACTGTTGTGCACAGCTAGCGAGATAGCACATGAAAATACCCCTCCATCTGCTTCTCAGGTAAAGTTGGGAACTGTGCATGCATCCAGCTGCATGAATGGTCTTGCCATATCCAAGCCAATTCACTGCATGCTGGAGAGCCAAAAGGAAAGAACACTCTTCAAAGATGATAAATGTAACCAGCCACATGGAAACTTGAAGACCCCAACTGAAATACCCCAGGATTTTGATGTTCAAGAAGCTCCAGAAAGGGATGAAGGCAGCTGCAGTGAATGGAGTTCCGTTAATGGAAGTCTGCACCTGGATAGTGCCAATATGTCTCTGTTGTTCTCTGAACAAAAACTTGTTACTAATGACCAAGCACAGATGGCTTCTTATGAAGAATTTGCTCACATCAAGTCATTTTCCTCTATGGATGAAAATGTTGGTACTTCTTGGAGAGAACTTACTAATGACAAGATTCTTGATACAAAAAACAGCACAAAAGTTTACTGTAGAGACCATCTGAAAGCAAATGCAGAGCATGCTTCATTCCTGAAGTCTGACAAATCAAAACCTCCTGTAGCACAACTCGGTGCATCACCAAATTCAAATGCTGGAAAAGGCTACAACCAGTACTTGAAAAAAATGGTGCGGGATCCCAAAGCTTTTCAGGAAGATAGTGGTTTTGATAGCCCACTTTGTAACTTAAACTGATAACAGGAGTTCCTCATTTGTTGGGGGGTGTGTGTGTGTGTGTCTGTGGGGCCACATAAACGTATGAAATCATATATTTAAATAAAAGCTTGAGGATGGGGAAAACCTGATTGTTACGCATTTTCAAACTATTGCGTAAAGAAATGCTATAAAACTAATATTAATGGAGACTTTTGTTTACCTTTGTATTGACTTTTGTAGTTGTTTATGTGTATTATATGTTTATTAAATACAATCTATTTTTATATTTTAACTTTAGTTTGCAGTGCAATGTTTATTTATATAAAACAAAGCTACTGTCATTTGTGGTAATCCTTTAAAGTGCTTTTGAAAGCTTCAAAGCTCAACACATATAAGATATTTTAGAGTTTGTATGAAATAACCATTTCAATTGACCTGTCCAGACCTCCAGCCTTTTAAGCCTCTGTGCTTGTCCATTTTGAAAGACCTCCAGCCTTTTAAGCCTCTGTGCATGCTTATAGTAAAAGCATAAATACTTGTATATTTTTATTAAACTATTATAATCAAATTTCAAGTATGTTTTCCCTTGGGTACAGCGCAAAAAAAATATATTGTGAAAGAAGGTTTAATTTAGGACAACCATGTTTTACGGATGTTCCTTAAATAGCACAAACTATCACTTTGAACCAAAGATGCAGTCATATTTCTCTTGGTATTTATTGCACTTCCTTTTAAAGGCCGGCTTGTGTGCCATAGGGAACTGAAACGCAGAGGTTAGACTTTTTTCTGGATCTGGGTCAGACAGGAGGGCAGGTGTGTGTATGTGTGTTTGTTGTTTGTTTTCTCCTTCCTCCTTCCCTCTTCCTCTCTCTTGCTTGTGGCATTGCATTTCATTTCTAGGGATACTTTCACGAAGACAGTTTTGCTGGTGGGTTTATTGGTCCTTAACTCTTGTTTATGCAGTGTGATTAAGTAATACCTGCTGCCTCTACTAATGTGGTTGTGGCCCAGCCATTCACATGAGCAGTAATACAGAGTATGTAAACACAGATTTTTGCCTCCTGTTATTTTTGTAATGCTGGAGCAACCCGTCTGTGCCCCCAGCTGCCCCCATGAGCACGTAGCTAAAGGTTGTGTTATGTAAGGATGCTCATTTGGGCTTTCAAATTTGAACAGCACAGCCCAGTCTAGAATCTTGCTTTCAGTTTTTACAAGGAAATAGTGTAAGATTCAACAGAAAAACATTTAAAACATATTAACCCCCCCCCCCCTTTTTTTTTTTTATATAAAAAAAAAAAACCTCTTGCTTGTTTCATCTTTCAGGCCAACTGGCAAATAGGAGTTATGTCTGGTAAGCAAGACATATTTGTGACTTGAAGCTTTCTCAGGAGATCTAATGAGAAGGATCAGAATTTCTTGGTGGCCCTTAGTGTTACCCCTAAATCCAATCCCGCTTCCTCTTTAGCGAAGGTGGGGTTTGTCATCCTCAGCGGGAGCAGGATCAGGCCGCAAGAGACCTCTTGTGCCTAAACAAACATGAACAGTGGTTAAGTTCAAGGGCCAAATTCCAAGCCCTTAGCTAAGGAAATAACTGTGGCCTTGTCTGTAGGGGAAAGTTTTTACTAGTTATCCCACTCTCAACCCTGCATGGATGCTGCTTTTTTTTTTTTTTTTTTTTTTTCCTCCCCTCTCGACAGTCTAAGAGTGGCTTTTTTGGTTAGCCTGAATGTTTTTCCAAATTGCATAAGCTTAAAAAGAAGTATGTTTATTCCAGTATAAAAGGTACTTGCATGGTTTCTTAAGCCAGTATATCGGTTTCATTCATTCCTTGGCCTAATCTAGAAACCTTTCCAAGATGGACAAAGCCCATGTCCATAGAAGTAAATATGCAAGTGTTCTGTAAGACATGACGGAACCTTCAGCAGCCAAGGAGCCATACTGGTAGCAGCTGTAGTGAGATTTTGCTCGGTGGCCTGGTGCAGCATATTTTACTCTTCTAGAACACATGTATGATCGTCTTTTCCATGTTAGCATTCACCTGAGATGGGGTTGATATTTTACTTGTAGCTGGTCCCTAAAATGCCAAGCTTAGTGAATATGTGCAAACTGCTTTCAAAATCCCATCAAAAGCTTTTATAGTGCAGTGTATTTTATCTCATCTTGTTCATTTTTTTTTGTATATGTAGTATCATAGTTTTTAGCTTTTTAAAAAACTACTGTGCTTAAAAACTCAATTACTTCAGTTTAGAATAAAATACTTAATGATGCTGTTCATGATAAATCTTTGGATAGTGGCCGCTTTTCAGATACTTTAGAAGCTGAAGTCCTACAGTGAGGAAAATGGATCTTGCTCATTCCTGCATACACCGGAGAAAGTGAAGGCTGCAGCAGATCACAGCAGCAGGCAGGTAACAAGAACAAGTTCGTCTTGTGTGTGGATTTTCTCTTTTATGTGGCAGGAAGAATATGTCATGTAGACAGGCAAAAGAGTAAGAGGAAAAAGATCTTTCCAATTTCAACTAGTAAAAGTAGGAATATTTAATTATAGGTGTTATATTAGATTTATATTAGAGTTGCTATTTCAGTGTATACCATATTATAGTATTGCACTGTGACATTGACCAAAACTGTAATGCATATGCAAATGTGTGTGTGAGTAAAGATTCTGTTAAATCCTTGCTTACCTAAATCTAACTCTGTATGTTGTTACTCTGACATCTCCAGAGTGCTCTGGAGCTCCTGAGGGGTTTGAGTTCTCCTTAATGAGAATCAACTGTGAAGGCCTGCAGAGGAGATCCAGACCCAAACAGCAGCAGGCATTCCCTGGTGAGTAGAGTTGTGAGGGACAAGGAAATGCTTAGCCCAAAAATCAACAGCTCTGATTAAAAAGCATTCCTCAGCTCTCATTCTTGTAACCACAGAAGGAAAGAATGAAGCAACAGCAGGCAAACAGGGGTGGCAGCTCCCAAAACTGGCCAGCTGACACCAATAGGGATGGGGGACGTGGTGTTGCAACATGTGTGGCTGGATGAGTATAGCTGAGCCAATGTTATAACAGGCACTAAATGAATATCTTAAAGTAAGTTTGCCATATGTTTTCACCTGCTGGGTTATATTGCTGACCTGTTTTATTCAAGAATTCATCACTTACTGTTAGATCTTGATTTAAATTGTTACTTGCTTTAATCACAGTTATGCTAAAAGAGATGGTTACCTAGTTCTAGAAATGTGGCAGTTTAGTGCTGTTTAGCGTAAGCTTTGTTTAACTATTCTCTCACCAAAGAGGGGAGAAAAAAAAAAGTAGTAGCAAAATGCAATGGTTTCTTTTCTTTTTTTTTCTTTTCTTTTTTTTCTGGTCAACAGTGTCAACATCAGCTGATTTATCATGCAGATACAGTGTATGTGCACACTCTTGCTTGGAGCAACCTCTTTCAGCCAATGTGTCACTCTGACCTCATTTGATACTGAAATACCAACGCAGTAGTAGCATTGCCAAGCTGCCTGAATCATATGGTAAATTAAGGAGATAACTTATTACACATTATTACTTTAGTGTAGCTTTGTGTTTACCTAGAACTTAATTATCTTTTATGTAGTTAAATGTGCATAAATTGCTCATGTGCAGTGTGTGTCCTTAACTGATGCATGTTTTGAGATAAATTATTCTTGGTGTCTAACACAGTTTATGTATCTTCAGGGTCCTCCTCTTTCAGCTGGAATGAAATAGTGACACTTCTGTTATGTTAGAGCAACACCCATAGTTGTTAATGGAGAAGCTTCAGAATAGATGTTGCATGAATAAGATTTAAACACCCACCTTGTTTATTTTCACTAGGCATGTCTTTTTTTTTTTTTCCAAACCACAACTTGCTATGGTAGACGACAAGGTTTTAGGCTTTCAGTATTAACATTTCTGGAACACCCTTTCCTTTCCGCTTGTTGTAATCAACAAACTGAGTTTACTGTTCTGTGCAACGTAGAAGAAAACTAAGCCAAAGGATTCAAGGTCACTGTGCCTGTGCTGTTGGCACACATAACATCAGAGCGCCTCAGTGTCCTCACGTGTTAATGCTTGAGACCTTTGTGAGGAGGGGAGTGAATACGACCTGTTGTATGAGTAAGAACTGAGGCCCGGAGAGGTTAAGTAGCTTGTTCAGGCAGTTAGGAAGCCTGAACAGGGAATTGAAACCAGGCCTTTTAAATCCTTGGCTAATGCCTTAACTGACACATTACCTTTTCTTTATGCTTTATGGCTTTACTGTCCTTTTGATTTTCTTTGATTTGTCCTCTGTTCTAGTCAGGTAGTCAGGTCTATTGCTTTGTGTGTTTTGTTTGTTTTTGATTATTATTTCCATTGTCTTTACACTGGCCCATTTTTTTTTCTTTGGCTTTGCATTTAGCCTCTTCTTTTTCTTTTTGTTAATTTTAATCTTGGCTGCTCTTTCCATCTGACTTTGCACAGAGTCGTCTTCTTTCCTTGAATGTCATCTACTTTTAAGATTTATTGACTGTTTCTACCAGCATCATTCAGCAGCCCCCTCTCTGGAAGGGGTGTGTGTATGTGTGTGGAGTGGTGGGGTGGAGTAGGCACTTTGAAGTTCTTCTCCAGAATGACACAGATACCCTTTCTGGTATTATCCGACTTCTTGGTGACCTTACCTATGATTGTGAAAGTCTTTCAGAGTTGCTACTTTCAAATCCAAGTTCAACACGAGTAATCTCTGGATGTGCAGCTATGGAAAACTCTGGCTTGTGTTCTTTGGCTTTCCTTAACACCTTTAGGGTTTAATATCTTGTTCCCACCTCCCTGCTGGACTATCTCTTATTAATACTTTTGAGTTGGTACTTTCCACTGAAGCTTGAAGATCTGCTTACCACCATATAGTGTGCTTTTTCTCTGAAGATCTCAAGCTGGGTATACTTCCCAGAAGTATCGTGATGCACAGTCTTATATATATATTTCAGTCATTCATTCTTAAAACTTGCTGTCAAAGCCATTCTTTTGCCGTTAGAGCTCTGTTCTCATGTTTCCCTTTGTT